TCATGACGATTTTAAATAAGTCACATCTTAAAGAGCATGTTGAAAACAGAACAGATTGCATAAATGCTAAAATCAGATGGTTTAGCTACATTATACAAGCTCTGAATGTGTACTCAAATAGGTCAGGTTAGCGAAGAGAAGCATATTTGTCTCTCATTTTGTTCCTGTGCTGTGCATACTCTTTCCTTTTGCTAGAGTAGGAGTAGTAGGTGGATCCCGAGCAGTGGGGAAGGCAGCTTCGAGTGTGAAGCAAGCTTCCCGGTGAAAGCTCTATAGACAAGAACGATTTAGGCTAGACCTGCCATCGCCTACAATACCTTCCTTACACAATCAGGACAAATTTCCTCCTACACTGAATCTCCAGGAAAATTTCTCTACATCTTTGCTTAGGAAAGCATTTTGAAAATATATAACTGCAACACTGAGTATGCTAACAGCAATCTCTGTCACAGAAAAGAGCACAGTGTGGAGATCAAGGGATGGCAGAGAGTCAGAAGACCTGTGTTTGAGTCAAGGGCTTTCCATTTACCTTACTTGAAAGGCAGACATGTGAGGACATTTGAGCAGTCTTAGCTAATTTCACTGCCTCAGTTTTTCACTGAGGAATGCTAATAGGACAAACACTGGGCTGCTAACGACAAGGTTGGCAGTTCAAACCCACCTTGGAAATACTACACAGGGTTTCTATGAGTCAAAACTGACTTGGCAGCACTTAGTAATGACAACAAAAATAGCACTTGGAGTTCTGGTCTGGTGCTGTATAATAAGCACTGCACTGGTAAGTACAAGGCCAGCAGTTCAAACCCACCAGCTGCTCCTCAGCAACCTTCTATAGGGTTGTTATGAGTTGGAAACCAATCTCCAGCACTTACCAACAACAATAGCACTTACTTCATAGCATTGTGAGGATTATTCATATTATGAAATAAGATCTTGGCACACAGCTTGGAGATTGGCAGATTGGCACAAAGGTGGTTTGTTAAGGAGTTCTCCTATGATTAGTACAAGGTGCAGCAAAGGGGAGGAAGCAGGTCTGTGCTAAGGGAGAGGCAAATCTGTGGTGAAGTTTCTGACAAAGTCTCAGCGGACACCCTCCAGGGATTGATCTGCACCTTGGTATCTGAATATCAATCAGTCATGGATGATGGCCACCTCATGAAGGGTGTTTGATGCTGATGTGGTCAACCTGAGAGTCATCACTCAGCTATCCACTGGCTAACTCAGCAGCTGGGCTCTGAAATCTCTGAAATCTTGAAGCAGTTGGGTGAAGGGTACCTGTTTACAGACTGCTCTCCACCAGCGACTAAACTGAGAGCCATACTGGGGCAGGCCTCTTCTGAGCACGTGGTGGATTCTTGGGTAGCTGATTTTAGTGTAGACAATCTATATAGGATTTCTGAGCCTGTAATCTTTGTGAGAACAGAAAGCCTCATCTTTCTCCCGTAGAGCAGCTAGTGAGTTTGAACTGTCACTTTACAGTTAGTAAGCAGTACAGTGTTTATTCTACTGCATTACCTAAAAGAAATAAGAATCAGATGTGGTCACTTCACATACAATGTTAACAATTCTTGGTTCAGGAGACTAAAAGAAATACGGCAACCAAATGGTTCAGAAAAAAATAATTTGTCCTGGTGTGGCACTGTAGGATAAGCATTGGAGCACAAGGTTGGTTTGAACCCCAAGGTCGGTGGTTCAACTTATCAGCTGATCCCCAGAAACCCTATACAGGATCCCTATGAGTCAGAATTGACT